TTTTCTCACTGGAGTTAATGAAAAATAACATATAATGATGATGACAAGTGGAATAATTGATGTGCTTACATATTATCTTCATCTTGTCCTTAAGCTCAATAAGGTGCTCGCTCTTGGTCAGGCCGAAGTAATAGTCGGTAAACTCATCCTGAGGACATATGTTTGCCGGGTTTGCAGTGCCAATAGCGAGGACCGTGGCAGGGCCTTCGGCATGCCGTGTGCACCGGCGGCTGTCAACAACAGCGGCGGTAGCTGCTCCAGGCATGGCCGATGGTAAAGGAAGAACGTGTGCGGATGCAATGAGTTTCCTTGAGAGAGAGAGAGAGAGAGAGAGATGGCTATGTGATGCGTCTATGAGTGGAAACTCTACCTGCTGGCCGTGTGGTTTTATACAAGTTCATCGACAACCTGGTCTAGCTAGCCACCAAATATTTCTGAATTAGCAAAAGATATCTACAATTTCGCTCTAGAGTACCCTCACATGTTACATCGAGTATTTAAAACCAATAATGTTTTTCTATAGACAACATATATAATATAACCTACAGGAGCAAAATATAATACTAAAATCTGAATGAGATCACACAAGAGAATTATTAATATAAGTTAATTTCACACCGGATAAAATTTATGTAACTTCTATATCGCCTAATTTGCTTTTTCATAAATATTTATTTCAGTTCAATAACTAATTTTATAATTCAAAACTGTCCTCGATACCTTTCCAGTTGGAATGACAGAGTTTGTGTAACGTCATTGATGGAAAATTCCAAATTAGTATTGACAGTATGGATTCCGAGGTATCATGTTTAGGAAAAGAAAAACATTATTGGTTCTACTATATCACTATCAGTATGCATTAATTGATTGTGACGAACATGCCTTCGAAAATCTAAATATATTATTAGGAGCTGCAACCTGGCATGATCTTTAATTTCCATTGAATCTGCACGTTGTAAGTAAGTAATTATTTATTATTTTTAGATAATGGCAAAATATCCTGTACAGTTGAACAACATCAGATTTGCACCCATAGTGTTTAGACTGGAGTATCTAATTGAATACTATCAGCTATTTCTAGGACACACTAGTAGAGTCTAGTACAGAATTTGATACTACCTGGATAGTTCCCCCTTAAGTCGATTTTTATAAGCAGCTTGTGATTTATCATGCTGTCAATGCGGTCCGAACATAGCCTTGGGATAGTTAAATTATTTTTTGTGCATCATCATCGTACTTGCCCCAGCATTAAACTTAATCTTCCGTATCAAATTAGTCACAGGAGAAGTAGGCCCAAAATAAATATATATATGGATCAGGTCGTGCTCTGGAGATTACAAATCGTAATGTATAACTCGAGATCAATCTAATCTTATAACACATTTTCATATTTAGCTTGTGATCGTGGAGCAGTTAATGTAGTCCAAAATCAAGATTGAGATGAGAAATAATTGACACTTGACAGTGCAATAAACCCTGCATCTGATAATCGAATTATTGGCCACAAGAATCAAGGGCCCAATATAAAAATAATATTGATTAACTCATGCCAATTACAATGTTAAGCCTGCAGGTGTTTAGGATCTTTGAAGATTAAATGTAGGAATAGGATATCGACACATGATCGTTGTGCCCTCACAACTAAACTATAGAAACTTTTTCTTATGAGGTAGTGAAGATCATGCATCTTAGGGGCTACATCAAGTCACAGGCCATAAGGTGTGCCATCGATTTCGGCATCGCCAATGCCGCTGTTAAGTCGTTGCCCTCCGCATCGCTATAATAGCTGACACCGCCATAATCGCTGACCTACAGCACATTATGCAGCTGCTTGGCACCATGGGCTTCTTCTGCGACTCTAAGGTTCATAAAAGAGGCCCCATCATCTGTAGGCCCACCACGGCCAGCCACTTCACCCGTTAGCTCACACAAACTTTTCCCTCTTGGTGTAGTTTGTGCTAAACCCATATTCTTTCAACTTAGCCTACTAGTTCAGGAGCAAGTAAAAGGCTGTTGGGTCTCTGTTCATAGTGGTACATGGCTTCACGCAATGAGATATGGATAGCGAGAACTCGGTGCTGAATATTGTCGTCAATGACTCCTTGGTCGCTACTTCCTCAAGGTGTTCTTGCGGGTAAGCTAGGGCCAACTTTTCGATAGGTTGACTAGCTGGTCAATGTGTGCACCTAGTGGCCATGGCACGATGGACACACATGCTATCGCGCACGAGTTGCTGCAAATCAACTGCAGCATTCTGTACCGTCCTCGTGTTGGCGGCATGGCACCACTAGCAACAGCAAGCGGCTGTTCATATAACCAGCAACATCAACAACATGTTCATGACATATATCAATGATATTGACTGAGATAAACATGTGTGAAAAATGAGCATTTGTCCAGCTGGTTACAGTAAGGTTTACAAGTCATGCCGGTAAGGGGTCCTCCGTAAGTAATGGAGATCTACCCAAATGAGAAGAATGAATACTATGTGATCGGTTAGGTACCATATATCATGCTATAAGGGAGCATGCATTTATGATACCTATGTTTGATCTATTAGGAAGTATGTCATTTTTGGACAATGCAGCCCGAATTTCTAAGACTTCATACTTGATAATAAAAAACAAATTGTATTGGGATGAATAGAAATAATTAACAAAAAGTGTATAGTTTCTTTCTATGATCCTTTGTAGTTCCTTTTCCTTTCTTATGCTCAATCATCTCGTAGAGAGGTGGAGGGAAGAGGCAACTCATCTGAAATTTTTTTTGCTCAACCAGTACTCATCTCATCAACAATATAACTTTTTGCTTTTTCAATTTCTTTGTTGGTGGATTCTTCACTCTTGAGATGTTCAAGAAAAATCTAGCAAAGCTTTTATGGAAGGTTGACGATATGTATATATGTTCTCGGCGATCTCCTTGGCGAGCTGGAGTGCCCTACCACTGCCGGAGCAGCCGTGGGTGCTGAGGATGATGCGGGAGACGGAAGGGTGGAGGCCGAGGAGTGTCACCAGCTGGAGGTCCATGCTCAGGGCTCGGCAACCAAAGTAGGTGCTAAAGATTAGGTGGGTGATGTCAGTGGCCGAACAGCCCCACTCGGCAATAGCCTTCCGTACGGCGAACTCCACCGATACTAGCTACTACATATTCGACTATATGTAATGGGTCATCTCTGACAAGCCAAAAAATATCTCATTTAAGATATGACTACTGGGGAGGTCCTGTCACGGATCATAGTTGTAGTATGTCACAAATGAACTATGATGGGCCATGGTTGTGGCCCGTCATAGGTGACATGAGCTTCAAGGGAGGGAAGATATTTATCGATGATCTGTGGGTGGGTATGGATGAGCTCCTCATCAAGGTGGATGCTCTCTATACCAGATTTTTGACCTGATATGAAAAAGGATGAACACACATCTCTATTAGGTAGTAGTTACTACTCCTTAGATCAGGTAGGAAAAAAATAAAACATAAGACTGGATATTTGCACAGCCTAGCTTGAAAATATGATAAAAGCGCTTGAATAATTTATTTCTCACTGGAGTTATTGAAAAATAAATACATCAGTATGCATGAATTAATCGTAACTGACATACCTTCCATACTCTAAATATATAATTAAAGAGCTCAGTGAAATGTTTTTTTTGTTTATTCTAGAATTTAGATCGTGAGGTCTGCCCATCCACATCGTCATTAGGCGCTCCAAAATCGTGCAAAGCAGTCATATATTATTAGGAGCCGCAACCTGGGCCATATTAAATAACGGCAAAATATCCCGGACTGGACTCTCTAAATATTCTAATTAGATACTATCATCTAAATTATAGGATACACTAGTTTAGAAATTAATACCAAGATATTATTTTTCCGCATAGTGATTGTACTGGCATAATCCAACGAATATGGATCATCTCGTGGCCTGCAGAGTAGTCATGATGTAGCACATTTTATCATTTAACGTGTGATCGTCGAGCTGTTAATGTTGTCCAAAATTAAGCTTGAGATGTCAAAGAACTAACTTTGCAATAAAGCCTTCATCTCATATTCGAATTATTAGCCACAAGAACCCAATAAAAACCGGTGCTCTAATATCAATGCAAGCCGTCTTATCCGCCATTCGTATTCTATGATCACACTTGATTTACCGTTATCAAGGTTTTTTAGAAGTGTCAAATCGTCAAAAATTCACGAGTTCTCTTTGGTCGGGTCAGGTAAAGGCCAATGGAGGAAACTGTCTAGTCTCGTGGAAGCGAGTTTGCTGCTTTCATATGTATGGTGGCTTGGGGATTCTGAATTTGAAATATATAAGTTGGGCTCTAAGAACTCGATGAGGATGGGGAAATGTGTGATAGAGAGAAGAAGCCTGGCTCGTGCTATAGTACTCTATTTCATCGGCAAAGGGTTGACATGGCATCCGACATGTACAAAAACCACAGTAAAACAGGTTAAAGGGGATAAAATGTCCAGTATCAAAAGTTAGGATGTATTAAACCCGGTTTTATAGTTTAAGGGTGTATTTCAAACAAACATAAAAGTTAAGTTTGGGGTACAAAATGCACTTTTCCCTTTCCTAATTAATTCTTTAGTCACACAGCACTCTAGCAATTTTTTTTCATGACATCGATAGCCATTGGTAACAAAGCAAATGAATTTCTAAAAAGGAAAAAGAAAAAAAGCAAAGGAACACTGTTGGCCGAAATGAGCCACCTTAGGGCTTAATTGGTGATACACCATTATCTCAAGATCAATCATGGTTTCCAGTTTCCAGACCTCAACTAAATACCAGTTTGACACAAACTCTGAGCCAGTACTTAAGTACTCCCTCCATCCCACAAAAATCAATTTTTTACACAAATCTTGATATTACTTTTGTATACGAATCTAGATATAGGGTAACTTTTCTACAAAAATCTGGATATAGGGTAGTGTACAAAATTCAAAGTTTTTCCTAGGACGAGGGAGTACATTTCTCCCAGTAGCAGGCAAAAATAGCAATATGCTCAAATCGGAACTAATTGGTCAAGCAAATAAGGTGACATGCAGTTTCAATGCTAAACAAATAAGGATTCGCTTGCCCAACATATATACAGATGCCCTGCAATATTTACATCTTCTAGGTCTAGGAATATTAGCAAATTAGCAAAACAGGTGGAAGAAACACTACTTAAGGAAGCAGGTTCAAAGCAATAAATTAAACCAACCAAGACATCTGCTGCCTGCAACCAAACAGCAGATCACCCTAAAGCTCGAAGAACATAATGTGGAAACAGAGATATCTGCTGCAACCAAACAGGTGATCGCCCTAAAGCTCTGAAGCACATATTTTGTGGAAATAGATGACAAATGGCATGCAGTTAATTTGCTGCACCGCCATCAGCAGTGGAAACTGCGGCAATACGTTTCCTTAGCCTCCCACGGGTCACTCGAATCGCCTCCTCCATTGGTGTCTCCTCTGGAGTGGCAACAGGCTCATCCATGTCCTCTATAGGAATGTCAACCTCATCGATAGACATGTCATCTTCTGCAGATTTCGGGAGTGGCGGCGCACTAGGCTCAGAGCCTGGCATGGCAGCATTACTGGATGGAGATGGTGCTTCCTCAGTTGCAAGCTTCATTCCACTGCTCTTAAGATCCTCGACCGGTTTCGTTGCTGCAACCGTGGACCTTGTGGAAGCCGTCGGAGCAGACTTTGTGGGTAGTAGACGCCTGGTCTTGGGGTTAGAGTAAGCAATCTTCGTGTCCTCCGACTGCTGCATAATTCCAGCTGTTCGAGCGGCAGCAGATGCTGCTCTGCGAAGCGTTGTTGGTTTTTCATGGGGCATCTGCTGCTGTTGCTGTTGGGGCAGTGATTGCTTCTGTTGCTGTTGGGGCAGTGATTGCTTCGGTTGTTGGGGTTGTGCTTGCTGCTGTTTTTGTGGATACGATTGCTGCTATAACAATATCAAAAGAAGAATTCAACACGAAAAACTTTAGTGAAAACACAAAAAAAAAATAACAAGTGTTAATGACAAACAAAACCTACGTGAGAAATAACAGAGGATGCTGTTAGAGAATGTGTTAAGGCTACTAATGCCACTATGACATATATTACCATTAGCTTCGAAGGTTTTTCACATGTCAGATAGGATAATCATAAATTTTCTACAATTTGTCTTCAACTGAAACAAGCCTTTTTACAATATCATAACAATTTCTGGGCAAGCGATCTAGCAGTACTTGTCAGATAATTACTAGGCAAGTAAAGATAGCAGCAATGGGGCAGAATGTCACAGGAGTACAGGAAAACTGGGGAAATTTTCTGATGTTTCGATTTGACAAGATAACTACGAAGCGAGAAGTACTGCCAGAAAACAATCAGCAATTTCTATACACTATCAAACTAACAGTTAATTCCCAGTTTCCTCATTCATTTCTCATTGTTAAATATTTTAACTAAATGATCTCATGCCTTTCGTGTTTGCTCAAGTCAGTCCTAAGTGTCTCAAACTTACATAAGGAAGTGTAATAAATAGGAAAAGATATATTACTGCTGATGAGTGATCAACACTAATCCCACCTAAATCTTGTGTTGAGCAGATTATTTTCTGAAGGAAGAAAGAAACCACCCTACAGATTAGGAAGTTGGAAACAAAATACAATATGTTTTACTCAAAAACAGTACATGCTCCTTGGTGGGAACCAATCTGGTACAATTTGTAAAATTTTCCTATCATTATGCAATTTGTGTAAAGTATTTAATGAATTGGAAGTTGGAGCATTTTCAACCAACAAATTAAACTAAAAATTAAGTGGCATGTCCAACAGAGTACAGATATGCCAACTTGAACTGATATTTTAATTATTGTTGATCTTGAAGGTTATTAGTGTGGTAACAACTACATATTAGTTTCAACATCACAAACGACCTTCAGAGGAGCTAACAGCTACATTAGTAGTCTGCTGATCTTACATTATTAATATAACTAGGAAGGTAATCCACGCGATTGCGCGGGCATATCTTTGTTTCTGGTGTTTGAATCTCCTGAAGATGAAGATTAAGTGTTTCACGCAAAACAAGGTGGTAATAACGTGTGATTAATTGAGTTTTAATTATTACAAACTTGAAAAATGGATTAATCTGATATTTTAGAACAACTTTCATATAGAAAGTTTTCGTACGAAATGCACCGTTTAGCAGTTTGAAAAGCGTGCCATTTTAATCCAAAAGTTTATCCTCAAATTTCATAGGAAACGAACAGGGCAATGTTAAAATCTTTTATGATGACTGAAAATTTCTTTATATCTATATGTAAAGTTCCCGTAAAATGTTCAATACAAATAGTTAGTTGGTCTTGGTACAGTTAGTTGGTCTTGGTACTTCAAAATTTGATTGTAGGTAAAGAATTGGATCCTTGGTTACACATATAAACTTAGAGTAATAAAACTTTAACTGAGATCTTCAGATAATACGGAACTGATTATTCTTTGAATTTCTCTATTTCCTTTAATGACTCAAGAGGATTTTATCATGATTTATAGTAGTGCCAAATTAATCATTGACAAATTTTATTGCAGCTATGATAAATTTAACTAAATGTGTTGGCACTTATCAATATGAAGTTTAGAAGTTCCTGTGGTGGATATCCATAGGTTGGTTAATCTTCAGCATGTGACTCCCTAGCCCGTTAGCAGCCTATAGAAGAGGTGAAGTTGAGGTCCATATATGCTAGAAGATGTTGTAATTGGTGGTTTAATACCTCCTTAGAATTTTAGGTGGATGAAGGTCTGATTTAAATATAATACCTATGGGTTAACTATTTTACACGAAAATGAGAATAAAAGTATAAGTCTATGCATATGTATGCCCAATCCATGAAGGACTTATGCTGATGCAAATTTTGGAGCTAGTGTATTACATGGTCTTATTCTTGTTTTCATACTCAAATGATATTTCGTAATATTATTTACTATACTATTTAGAATACTGACATTGTAATAAATATACAGTGCATCATTAAGGTTTTCGTTAGTATCGATCTCCAAACATAACATGAAGAAGCTTTTTAAGTATATTTTCATCAAATACTACCGTAGCAAAATCTCATTAAGTGCTACATCTAGTAAACTATTTTGAATATGATTGTCTACTTGCACTACTCATAAATAGTATAACAATACTTCGGAATAAGTAGCACCCACCTTGCAAATTGGACGGTATTCACCCAACGGTTTGAACCGTTCACTCTATCTATCTCCTTTCAATGCTTAAAATTTAATATTAAAATTGAAGATAGAAATACCTACTTGAGTTATTCCTTAGTATTATTTTTTCCAGATTAAGGGGCATTAATTGAATGTTTTGATATGTAGCATCTTTATTGCAAAGATTTACTATGTTTTTGAATTGTACATATTCAAGCTGATGTGACATAAATAATAATGTATAGATAAGGGAGTTCAAGGAAGGTTTAGTCATCACAAATTAATTGTTATGGTCTTCGATCGCTTGTTGCTTTGTCTTTATTTTTATTTTTTTTGGACCAGGCTTGCTGCTTTGTCTTGGTGGCTGTTGTGACCCCCACTATGTTCTTTTAGTGATGCAATGGATGGCTGCCAACCTTGTGGAACTGAAGGCTGGTCATTCTTTCTACAACCCTATGCACCTTGTAACGGGTCACTATAACCTCATACGGCACCTTAAACGTCTTGCTATTAGATACCACACGTGGATGTTTTTTTCTATTACATAATGTTTGTACAAATATACAGAGCAATTTAAATATTGTCTCGCTTTAATTTGATTAGTTTTGACTTTTGTTAATTTAATGCCTTTATCCCAAACATAGTTGAAGGAACTGCTAAATATTGTCTTTCGTGACATTATCTTGCTTTAATTTGATTAGTTTTGACTTTTGTTAATTTAATGCCTTTATCGCAAACATAGTTGAAGGTGCTGTTAAATATCGTCTTTCGTGACATTATCTTGCTAAGAGTTTAGGATTGAAGCAAGTTATTATGGAACATCTTTGGTTCATTCTATTTTCGAGTATTACAATCATCTCAAACATACAACCACAATAACAATGTAAACTTCTATTTCTCATGGAACTTAACACAAAGTTGGAGTAGTTGCACAGAAAGTTTGGAGTACTACGGCATGACACTTATCTACGAAACTATGATAGCAGGACACCTGCAACTCAGGTATTAGCAGGCAAAAGAGATTGTGCATAAATATGAATTGTGAACCAAACGTAGGAGTGTTCAAAAGGCATTGATTGATGAATGCTGTTCCATTATCATTCAACAAACTAGAAGATAAAACATTCTGCTTGCAAACCTGTGTTGAGCGCGACCTTGATGAATGAGCTGGTGACTGTGCAGAAGCATACTTCAAAATGTTAAAGAATGTAGTCTGGCCAATAATTGCAACCTTCTGCCAGTAAACCACAAGCATGTCCCCAGCTCTTACTCTCAAATCAAGAATACTGCAGTCGATATCATTCTCATACTGTGAAATGTATGGCCTAAAGAAAGTCTCATAGACATAGGAGGTTCCCTATCATAAGCACACGCATTATTCTTGAAGGCAATCATATATTCAGTACAAGAAAAACATCATTATTAAAGTAAAGTACCTTTGTCCTTGGGCACCATAAGTATATAAAGAACATCAGCTTTGCTTCTGAGTACAGTGGTAGCCTTCAATAAAACCAGAATCAATTAAGCATTCAAAACAGTTTGTAATCAACGACTGAGGAACAAAGATCTCAGAAAAAACTAACCATGATATTGCAAAATCACCAAATCGTTCCAAAACCGTCAGTAGCGCGACTAATATCCTGGACACAAACAACAATTCAAGTGGCACTTGCAGTGTATGGATGTGGGCAAACCATGAATCCACAAGAATAAAAATAGCTCCTTACCAATATTGACACCAGAAAATAAGCTTCTCAATCTCGGGCTTGTTCAGCTCTACGGTTTTATAGCATTCATAAGCAGGATAAGCATAACCAAAGGCCAACCTGCATCATAATCATCCCATCAGAACCAGAGTACATCGTTTTTTCTACATTATGCAGTTCCAACCAAAGAAACCAATGTCCTCATAATCCGAATGTTATGAAGATGCAACGATATAGATTCCACTTTTTCTTTTGGTGCATAAAAAAAGATAGGCACAGATTTTAGGGCCGTGTTTGAACAACTGAACTGAATCAAGACAGGAGCAATCGCAAGCGCAAATCGCAGGAAACTTAAAACCATGGGCAAACAACAGATTCCTTTCAGTAACATCGTAAGAGTATCTTTTAATACTATCACAGATTCACTACACAGTTTTAGTGTACCATTAATCTTCAGCGGAATAACCATTGACCTTAAACACTCAAAACAACAATGACTATCCTCCTCCAAAGAACGGACGACCACAGATGTACAGATTTTCACAGTGTTTGAGTGGTGTCGATGCTATTCCAAAGGAAGAAGATGCCAGACAAATCGACGCACACGCATTCCAAAAAAGGCGAAAAATATAAACACAAAAGATGAAAAAAAAAAGAAATCGGTTCTTGAATCCATCCCCACGGTCAAACCCACAAAAATCGTGAAGAAACACCGGGAGATTTCGTCAGATTGGGGGGACTTACAGTAGGACCCTGGAGAGGAAATCGCCCATCATCCTGCTCCGATCTTTCTGCACAAGAACAGATCCAGTGAGATGCTGCTACTCCGAAACAACCAAGAACTGTGTAGGGCGGAGCAAGGAGATGTACAGATGGAAGCGTGGATGGAAGAAGGTTGGTGACGGGGCTGATAGATCCGGAAGGGATGCAAGAAATGGGGAGGAACTGGAGGAGTGAAGATCCCCTCGCTCACCCTCTCTCTCCCTCCAGTAGTCCACTCCCGTCTGACTGCGAGGAGTGAAGACGGCGACAGAGCTCTTCAAACTCCACCAAACCCAACGGGCAACACTTCACTAGTGTCTCTCTCTCTCTCTCACCTCTTTTTCTACTCGGCCGTACATGCCTCCTGTTCTCAGATGGATAATCATGCTGTACTCCCCAACTAAATGGTGTGTTCCTTTTTAAAAAATCACTAATCTCTCTTACTCAAAATGAGGGCTGATTTGGTTTAAAGCCAAAACTGCCATACAAAAATATTGGTATTTTAAACAGTAATTTTGGCAATGTTTGGTCTACTACCAATACTTGTCAATACCACACAAATGTTACCAAAATATTGGCATTGGCAAAAATTTACTCATGATTTGGCATTGGCATAGTTACAAACCAAACAAGCCCTAAGTTAACATAAAATATACTAAGTTGATTTATTTTGGAATGAAGAAAATAGATGAAACCTTATTCATTGTTGCATGATAATTATATATGGGTTGTAAAATTTTCTTTTGTATTCCTATATATTTTTCTATGCGCTTTTTATATATGGTACTTGATCGATTATCTAAATATTATAAATGGTTTGGAGGTATAGCGTAGCCTTTTTTTTATAAGAGAGTCGATATGCATTTTTTTGATGAATTATTTAAAGGCTAAAACCAATTAAAATGATATAGCATCATGATAGAAAAATAATTAACATTAACTATTAACTATATTTAGTGCAGATGAAATTTATAGATATTAGATAGATAGAATTTGTACACAAGTTTTCTTAAAAGGAATTGAGTAACTTTATTTTTTTATAGTTTGTAATAATTTATACTTAATTACTATCAAGTGTCCAAACGAACTCACCCTTAGTCCAAACAAGTGTATATTTCTTTTTTAAAAAAATCTATATAGAGATATCTTAGAAAAGTTTTTAAAATCTATTTTTTTAACTTTCTTATATTTGATTTATCCTATTTTGCTCTAGAAGAGTTATCATAAAATGAAAAAAGCTATTCTCTCTTTCTGTAAATATAAGCACTTTTGGAATAGAGCTCAAACTTTTAAAGTTTGGCTGCAAATAGAAAAAAAATCATAAAAATTGATGATGTGAGAATTATGTTTATCTTCATAAAAATCTTAATTCCTGTTTAACTTATGAGGTTTTCTGTCTTTTTACTCAGTATTTACTTTTGGACCACTAAGACTAAGACTAGAACTAAAAGCTTCGCACTAAATTACTATTATTGATTATATCAGTTTCGATTTATAAGCCGCACGGCCGCGGCTGAAATGTGGAGATTATGGGTACCCCATATCCACACGGCATGGTTATCCGACTAGTAATAGGGGATAACATATATGTATGGAATATGTAACAGATCGTGACTTGGGTATTACGTTTCCTTGTATATTACGGAACGGCCTAAAGTCCTGGTTTGATAATATTGTAAAATAGATTTAGGAAACCGATGCCGTATTGGTTAAGGTTTCTATCTTGTAATCCTGCCCCCCACCCTATATAAGGTGGGCAGGAGACCCTCTAGGGGGCATGAGACAACCTGATCGTCAGATCTATACTACACCCGGTGGATTCAAATCCCCAAACAGGAGTAGGGTATTACCTCTCATTGAGAGGGCCTGAACCTGTCTAAATCCTGTGTCTCCACATCCATCCACTTTTAGGTCTCGTGCGCTACCCCGTTTTATTATTGCCGAATTCATGTTTCGACAGTTGGCGCGCCAGGTAGGGGTGCGTCGAGTTCCTCGTCGACGAGTGCGATGGAACCAATCTTCAAATCACCGGGTTGGTCGTTCCAATCTACTGCTGTTAGATTATTTTTTGCGACAAATTGATTCGCTTTATTGTCTTTTTACATGCATGTACCGGTGCCTGATGCTTTTGCCGATCCAACGAACGGCGCTATCATCTGCTCTGCGCCTATGTGATTCTCGCGTCGGCCTCGTGATCCATCCACTTTAAGATGCATCTTGTGTCCATGCATGCCTGGGATCGATCAGCAGAAAAGCGGGCATACGTGCATTGCTATATGCATCTAATCTTCCTGCTACATGCTAATTAGATTGATTTTGGATTATAGATTATTAATCTTAATTTTGCTGGTTATTTTTGCCTGCATGTCTGCACCGGTTGACGAGGACTGACGAGGACCTATGTGTTTCCGCCTGCACGGCTGGCCTTTATGCCGCCGTTGTTGGGCGTCTATGACTTCACCGCCGGCCTGCCTCCGTCGCCGCCGACTGGTGCCTCCGCCTACACGGCTGGCCTATTATGCCGCCGCTGTTGGGCGTCTACGACTTCACCGCCGGCCTGCCTCCGTCGCCGCCGACTGGAGTCCCCGCCTATACGGTTGGTTGGTCACACCACCGTTCATGGGCGTCCACGTCTTCACCGCCGGCCTGCCTCCGTCGCCGCCGATTGGTGCCTCCGCCTACACGGCTGGCCTATTATGCCGCCGCTGTTGGGCGTCTATGACTTCACCGCCGGCCTGCCTCCGTTGCCGCCGACTGGTGCCTCCGCCTACACGGCTGGCCTATTATGCCGCCGCTGTTGGGCGTCTATGACTTCACCGCCGGCCTGCCTCCGTCGCCGCCGACTGGTGCCTCCGCCTACACGGCTGGCCTATTATGCCGCCGCTGTTGGGCGTCTATGACTTCACCGCCGGCCTGCCTCCGTCGCCGCCGACTGGTGCCTCCGCCTACACGGCTGGCCTATTATGCCGCCGCTGTTGGGCGTCTATGACTTCACCGCCGGCCTGCCTCCGTCGCCGCCGACTGGTGCCTCCGCCTACACGGCTAGCCTATTATGCCGCTGCTGTTGGGCGTCTACGACTTCACCGCCGGCTTGCCTCCGTTGCCGCCGACTGGTGTCCTCGCCTATACGGTTGGTTGGTCACACCACCGTTCATGGGCGTCCACGTCTTCGCCGACCGGCTGGCCTTCGCCGCCGCCGACTGGTGTTTTTGCCTATACGGTTGGCAGACTTCGCCGCCGTTAATGGGCTTCATCATCTACACCACTGGCTTGGTTCCACTGGCGCCGACTGGTGTTTTTGTCACCATTGATGGACTGCTTTATTCCCACATCGGCTACTTCTGCTGTCATCGAGGGAATACGACAAAGCTAAGTCATCATTTATTTTATTCTTTATATGATATTTTGTCTTTTCCTTTGCCTCACTACATCAACTGGTTCGCCGTTGACTAGTGAGTCGGGGGCTATAGATGTTATATCGTATTTTTTAAACAATTTTCATAATATTTATCTTGATTGCTTGCGACATAATCTGAGTACAAAAGTACCTATCGAGTTATGGAGTTCTATCTTCCTATGCTTTCCGTTTGGTTTGCCAATGGATGGTTGCCTTTGGGCCGATTCCTAGCACCCGGGGGCTCGTTGGATGGACCGAGTAACGCAAGGTGCTAAGTATTATTCGGAATAAATCAAAAGCATAGAGATGAGATAAATTTATTTTCTGCTCTTAATAATCGCAAAAGTACCCGAGTAGTAAATTTTGATCCGTGAAACTTTGTTCTATTAATGGTGAACTCATGTCACTCATATGCATGTTTGGGAAGTGCTTAGGCCGACTCCCAGTGCTTGGTGGCTATGACTAGTCGGGCAGAGTGTTTAAACGTAATGAGTCATCTGCTCGGGGAAATCAAAATTAACAAGAGGAGAAATATATATTTATAAATATTTTAAAATACTTGATTTTTTTCTCGAGTATTATATTTATATCAGATACTACTCATCCTATATGTTTGTTCTGCAGGATCCAGATCCAGATATGCACAAAAGGGATTCATGGCTTTAAGCTTATCTCTTACGCTCTAGGAATGGATCAGTCAGAACATCACCGACCGGCCGCCTCGTCCGCCGCCGACTGGTGTTTCCGCCTGCACGGCTGGCCTATTATGCCGCCGTTGTTGGGCGTCTACGTCTTCACCGACCGGCCGCCTCGTCCGCCGCCGACTGGTGTTTCCACCTGCACGGCTGGCCTTTATGCCGCCGTTGTTGGGCGTCTACGTCTTCACCGACCGGCTTGCCTTCGCCGCTGCCGACTGGTGTTTCCGCCTGCACGGCTGGCCTTTATGCCGCCATTGTCGGGCGCCTACGTCTTCACCGACCGGCTTGCCTTCGCCGCCGCCGACTGGTGTTTCCGCCTGCACGGCTGGCCTTTATGCCGCCGTTGTTGGGCGTCTACGTCTTCACCGACCGGCTTGCCTTCGCCGCCGCCGACTGGTGTTTCCGCCTGCACGGCTGGCCTTTATGCCGCCGTTGTGGGGCGTCTACGTCTTCACTGACCGGCTTGCCTTCGCCGCTGCCGACTGGTGTTTCCGCCTGCACGGCTGGCCTTTATGCCGCCGTTGTCGGGCGCCTACGTCTTCACCGACCGGCTTGCCTTCGCCGCCGCCGACTGGTGTTTCCGCCTGCACGGCTGGCCTTTATGCCGCCGTTGTTGGGCGTCTACGTCTTCACCGACCGGCTTGCCTTCGCCGCCGCCGACTGGTGTTTCCGCCTGCACGGCTGGCCTTTATGCCGCCGTTGTTGGGCGTCTACGTCTTCACCGACTGGCTTGCCTTCGCCGCTGCCGACTGGTGTTTCCGCCTGCACGGCTGGCCTTTATGCCGCCGTTGTTGGGCGTCTACGTCTTCACCGACCGGCTTGCCTTCGCCGCCGCCGACTGGTGTTTCCGCCTGCACGGCTGGCCTTTATGCCGCCGTTGTTGGGCGTCTACGTCTTCACCGACCGGCTTGCCTTCGCCGCCGCCGACTGGTGTTTCCGCCTGCACGGCTGGCCTTTATGCCGCCGTTGTTGGGCGTCTACGTCTTCACCGACCGGCTTGCCTTCGCCGCCGCCGACTGGTGTTTCCGCCTGCACGGCTGGCCTTTATGCCGCCGTTGTTGGGCGTCTACGTCTTCACCGACCGGCTTGCCTTCGCCGCCGCCGACTGGTGTTTCCGCCTGCACGGCTGGCCTTTATGCCGCCGTTGTTGGGCGTCTACGTCTTCACCGACCGGCCGCCTCGTCCGCCGCCGACTGGTGTTTCCGCCTGCACG